GGGGGGGGGGGGGGTCGGAAGAACGCCTCCTCCAAGCCTAAGGGGAAGGCGATCGCTCCCAAAGACTTCTTCGCGGCGGCGGGAGGCGGGAAGGGCAAGGGAAAAGCGGGGGAGGGGAAGAAGGGGGCCGTGGAGGGGGCGGCAGAAGAGGGGAAACAGGCGGTCCCGGCGGCGGCAGCGGCGGCGGCAGCGGCCGCAGACGCCAAGAAAAAGAAGGCCGGGTGCATCGGATCCTTCTTTGGAAAGGGTGAGAGCAGAGGGAAGACAGCGAAGAGAGAGTTATAGGAGAAAACTCATGGATCCTATTTGATACCGCGGTTGTTTCGTGGACCGTGGTTGATGGCTGCCTCGCCGGCGTCTTGGTTCGTGGTTCGTACGGTAGCTTTTAACCTCGCATTTCTTTTTCGAGTCGGAAGACCTCGCCGGGCAATTAGGCGTCTTTCTCAGACTGTGCTCCCACTTTGACAGGTGTTGCCTTGTCTTATTCAAGTTTGCTTGGAACACCCTGGATTTTGGTGTGATCCTGCTTGGTCGCTCACAGCAGTGTACCATGCCAGTTCGACACTCGTTCTTTCTCTTGCACAACATCGAGGGCGCCAATGCCGCCCGATACGCATTCCCTGGAAGAAACCTTTCCACAATCTCCCTATTGACACTATTAGCACCGTTCCTGACGTAGAAGTGTCAAGACGTTTTTGTGCACCCCGGGCCATGGAGCTTGCTGCGGTGTCTTGAGCAACGCCTTTATGTCCTTGGGGGTTTGGATTAATGGTGTACTCGCCTGCTCGGAAACGATGACGTAACGTGGGTGGTGTTCACCCCACCGTCGTATCGCTTCACGATGTTTTTATGATTTGTGTATTCCGAGGCTAGGTGGCGCCTTGGTAGGGGCGCGATGGGTGTTCGAGTGTCATACACCGGTGATTCCTGATGGAGGCGTAACCACCATATCGTCCGTCGTCGTGTTCCTATCCCCCATATTGCTTTAGTTTTTGAGATAAAAACGCTCTGATTTCGAATTGAGATGTCAACATCATGAACCCCACGGAGTTTTGGCTTCGTTGTGCCGTGGGACCTTGAGAGATGTTTCCGCCAACCCCTGCCCACCTCCCGGACTGCCTACCTTCTTCCAGCTTCTGCGGCTCCTCTTGCTGCGGCAAAGAATAAGAAGGAGGACGAGGAGGGCGGTGTCGGCGCGGAGGATGTCCAGCCACCGCCGCCGCAGCAGCAGCAGCCCAAGGCCCGGTTGTCAAAGAAGATGGTGGTTGAGGAGGACGACGACGAAGAGGAGGACGAGGTGGTGCCACGTCAAGGTGGGGACAAAGACGGCGGGGTAGGGGGCGGGGCGAGCGAGGGGGAGGGCGACGGCCTCGAGGATTCCGAAGAAGAGTGGGACGACGGAACCGCCGAAAAATCGAAGACCCCGTCCAAGACCAACGGCGTGGGCGTTGGCAGCAGCGGAAGCAGCAGCAGCGGCAGTAGCAGCAAGAAGACATCCGCGGCCACCGGGCCAGCAGCAGCGAAGAAAACAAAGGCGACGGCGCCCCCGGCGGCGGCCACCAGCGCCGCCAAGAAGGCCAAGACGGGCGGATCCACAGCCTCGCCAGTCGGCGACGACAGCAGTGACGACGAAGCCAGAGGGAGGGAGGAGGCGGAATCCACTCCGGGGTCCGGGGCGGCCACAAAGGGCCGAGGAAAGGCCAAGAAGGCCGGGAGAGGTAGTGGTGCGAAAGGAAGGTCCGGCAGCGAGGCGGGGAGCGGCAAGAGTGACGACGAAGAAGGAGACGGAGAGAAGAAGAAGCGGAGGAGGGGGAAGGGGACGGCGGCGAGCACCAGCGCCAAGCGCAAGGGGAGATACGACAGCGATGATGAAGAAGGGGAGACCAGCAAGAAGGAACCCGTCAGGTGTGGGACAGGGACAGGGTGACTGCGTTGACGTTGCCCACGTTGACTTCTTCTGCACTATGGATTGACGGCTGTGGTAGTGAACCACCTTCCCACATATTCAGCCGTAGCCGCCATGAACGAGGGGATAGGTACAGGTTTCGTTTGAGGTGACCTTCGGGGACCAGTGTAGTTGCGGATGGTCCCCGTCATGCCTCTCTTGGTCACTCTCACAGTCAGCCATGATTTTGTCCTCTGCTTGTCCCGTCTGACACGGTAACCAATTTCTTACCCGATTCGCGGGCAATAGCATCATACCCGCTGGAGAGCGCATTCTCCCCAAGAGTCAACAACCCCCCACCCCAACTATTCTCTCCCTAACCCCCTACCTATTCCCCGATCTATGCTCCTTCTCGGTTTCTCCGCCACGGCGCCGCCCGCGCGACGCCATCAATCAATCTGCCCATCAGAGGCGCGATGGACAAGTTCACGGCCAAGGGCAACGGGACCGGGGTTGACAGCAGCGGGGTTGCCGTGAAGCGCACCAAGACGGTCCTGAAGAGCAGGACGTACTTCGAGGGCGGCTACATGAAGACCGTCAATGAGGAGGTGGAGGTCACCGACGACGAGGAGGTGCGCGCCCCGGTCGTCTCACCTCTTTCTCGTAGATTCTTCGATCGAACCTAACATGGGTACGAAGAAAAGCTCAGCAGAGGCAAGGCCGGAATTCGTCCGGCGAACGGTTGTCGGCATGCAACTCACCTCTTCAAGCTCGGCTTGCTGAAAACCTGGGGGCAGTTTGCGCTTTTTGCCATGCCTACTGATCGGCGACCACTCGAAAGAAGTTCTCTTCATCGGCTTTCTCAGGATGCGAGCGTGTTGGTGTGAAAACCAAGGCCTCTTAAGTTAGGGCGAGTGGTCCCTCCGCCTCGTCCGATACCTTCACGAATAACGAAACAGCGCTGCCTTAACAGCATGATGTAGTCAACAATGAGATCTTTCATCGTGCACATAGGTGCATCAGGAAGCCACACAGAAGCTCTGCTGCCAAATACATCCGCAAGCCTCGCGCGCGTGTGCCCTGTGGCGTTTCGCTATCGTCATGTTTGCGGGTCCAATGCCCCCGGATATTCCGCCCCCTCCACCATTTCACGTGCCGTTCTTCCACGTTCCCGCCATCCAGGAAGCCCTGCAGCCCGCCAAGACCAACCAGTCAAGAACGCCACCGCCGGGTACAAAGAAGGCAAAGATCGGCGTGGAAAACAAGGCCGAGGGGTCAGTGGAAACCCCGGCAGGCGCCAAGGGCAAGGATGGGGCGACGGCGACCAAGAAAAAGACGGCAAAGGCGGCTCCCAAATCCGGCGGGAAGCAGGCCAGCATGATGAGCTTCTTCAAGAAGGCCTGACCCACCGACCTATTTGGAGCGAAGGAGCGAAGGAAGGGTCTTGCCGATAGCTCCACTGTCCAAGTTGTACAGATCGATGAATGTGAGCGCAGGGATTGGCCTATAGGTCGAAAGGTCGACGGAAACTCGCGCGCTTCCGTCACTTGGTGTTTCTTTTTTCCTGGTACTTTTCGGTTCAGAGTTGCCGTAGCCCGGAAGATCATGCCGTTTCACTAGACAACCGCCTGGTCGACTACCAGGAAATTGCCTGGCTCGGTCTGGCTCGGTATGCCAGGTGTTGATTCGGATTCTGTACACTTGGAGCAGGGTGTGTTCTTTCTTTAAGAAGCCGGGTTCCGCGCCTCGAAACCGGTTGATTCGTTTGGTTTATGTTCGGCGTTGTGGTGAGCGCCCTCCGTCCGCTAGAATAATTCTCTCCGGCCGCCTTTACCGGTCGATCTGTCGAGACAAACCACTTAATTTGATTATGGCGTTCACTTGAATAGAGCGAAGGTATGCCTGGCATTTTCGTTGCCATCGTTGTTGTCGCGGGTGTTTTCGGTGGTAGTCAAGCGTTGACTTCGGATGGAGAAATTCTTGACACATGCGATGTCCTATTGAACCGTAGGACGACCCATAGGGCCCTCGGGACGTCTGTCCATGAGTGTGTTCTCTTCCGTACTTGAAGCATGGAACGTGATTTCCACAGCCCAACCTCATCTTGTTCCACGTGCACGGTTGTGAAAATGACGCATATGCTGTAGTATTTGCGGTACGCGCTGGGTACCGGTGAAATATCAGGGAGCGTGGATGGGATGCAGAAGCACCAAGAAGGGAGTACATGCCATTGCCGCGGTTGCCGTTTCGAAAAATGTCAGGTAATCGGACACAGCTATAGAAGACTGGTGTCAGTGCGTGCATTGGCACTCATTCGAGTTCCTTTTGAGGTGGGGTCCACAGGTAGGTGTCCTCACACGCGTGCGCGTCTCGTATCTCGATGCCACTCGCTTCTTTTTTTCTAGGCTGCCCGATGTTCGCCGAAGTGTGAGAATACACCAACGATGTCCTTCCTCAGGTCTACTTCGACAGCGGTTCTTGATCAATGTGCTTGCGGGCAATACGAATGCGAAAGGAGCGCCGGACAGACGAGGAGAAAGCAAACACTTCTGAGTACATTTTTTCAACCGCAATACGCCGAACTACTACAGCTGTAGTATTGCGGGGGTATTCGACGTGGTCCGCAAATACGATCGCTATTCTACATCGACTGCTACAAATACCTCCTCCGTAGATTTCGTAGATCCCGTAGATCCGTAACTTCTGCTGTAGTGCTGAGTACACGTGACAGGTCTGCCGCTTACTGCACCACTACCTCGTACTATTGGTTTCTTCTGCGGTGTCTATTTTGGTTTCAAAATGTGTCGACTGCTGCCCAGCCTCACCACCATCCTGCCCACTTCCACTACACACAATATCCGCATGGTACACAACCCTACCGCGGAACCTTACCAACTCCTCCAACATCATAATAGCTTTCGTCCCATCGACAACGTCGGGTTCTGACGTTGACGCTGACAGGGCGCTGGACACTGGTGCGAGCACAATGGTTCCCTAGCACCAGCATGGCCACTGAAAATAGCACCTGGTACCAGTTTCGGTATTGCTTTAACGACACCGGTGTCAATACACACAGAATGCGTGGAAACCACGTTCTCTGTGTTCCTACGGCTCTTAGCTGTCGTGCAAGCCTTCGTTCGTCCGGTGGTAGCCGAGGTATGGCCAAACATGATGTCAATGCACCACCTCGGTGATGTCGTAGACACTGCGCGAAACTTTCCGACATCACCTCCAATGAGCATGAAACCAATTTCGCTGTATTACCACGACCCCCAGCTGTCGCCCAAGACGTCATTTGGCCAATACCAACGTATTGTTCCCGAGATGAGCCTAAGAACGTGTCCACGGCACCCTTCTTCGTCAGTGTCGTAAATACGCTTTGTTTACGACACGCACGAAACTTCTCCAAACCACCTCCAATGGGCACGAAACTACGTGCGCCGTGTTCCCACGGCTCCCGCCTGTTGAGAAAGTCATCGTTTAGGCTCAACTGACTCGCGGTTGTCGGGAAACATGTAAGCCAAAAGGAAAACTATTGCGTATGAATCGGTGAAGAAAATCACGACATTTACTCTTTCACTCTTGTCCATGACATTCATAGGCCGGGGTTTTCGGTGCCCGAAGTCCCGCTGTGAAACCGAGTCCCGACGCCTTCAAGGCACAATGATCGGCTGTCGTAACCAATATAAACATTTCACTAGTTCATTCTCCTCATGACATTCATGTGGACGGTTTTCTGTGCCTAACGTCCCGGTGTGAAACCGAGTCCTCACTCACACTTACATGTTCCCTAGTTGGATCGCATCAAATGTATGAAAATGCGGAACATTTTCGCCAAATATTTCTTTCACTCTCGGCTTCGACGTGGCTTCCTCTTCGAGGGAACCAATATGCTGATTGATGTCTAAACTCTGCATTGTCAAATCTTCAGCATCATGACATTGTTAGAGAATCGGATGTGAAAATTCTGTGGAAACAACGTGAAATCCCACGGCAAAATGGTACCAATCGGTGAACAATTGTTGTAGGGCTTCATGGAAATGGGCCATACAAATTTCACACCTGCGAAGTCCACATTACCCTCCCCCAGCCCCGTACTGGTCCACATGTATCTTTAGCTTAAGCGCACGGGAAAATTCGCCCTCATTGCTGTGAAAGAGGCCCATCGCAAACATGCAGCTCAGATTGACAACCCTCGACTCGGGCAATGACAACATCAACCTGACGCATTGAATTGAACAATGAAAGTAGAGAAAGCCACCACTACTCAACACAAGTGTGGGATCAGGAACGACTGTATGCGACCCCCTATGACACATTCAGAGCTGTGTGGAAGTTCGTCAAAGATTATATTGAACACGGTGTATCCGCGTTTTTTCAACTCCTGCTACACGCGCAACCCAACATTTTGTGCCCCACAGACGTCGACGTATCTACCTCGTAGAAAAAACGGTATCTAGAGTGATGGCATCCGGACGAAGACCCCACAATCGCACTATCCGCAACGTATGCGGATATCACCGTTAGCATCCCCTTGAACCCAAAGCTATGCGTCATCCCTCTCATACGAAATCACGGTACTGCTTGAATATTGCCTTCACATTATCGGCGGTGGTATGTCCCCTTGTGCACGCACTCTGGGCGTCCTTGTAGAGGTCGCGGACCTCTTTCACTCTGCTTTCCCGCTACAGACGGACCATCTCCAGCTGTTTGATGTCGTTGGTGATACATGTAGCATGGTCGACCGACCCATTTGACCCAGACACTGTGCCCGATCGTGCTTTTCCACCCCGGGACTCCACCGGATTACCAATGACCTTCCTGATTGACGACCGACTGCGGCGCTTCGCCCTGGTTTCCTCCCTCTCGGTGCCAGTAGTTCTCCGCTTTGTCTTGTTTCCCTCGCTTTCAGCTCCGCTGATACCCTGACCCGATGACGCTGCGTTGATTCGCTTCTTCTCTAGACCGACCGGCTTGCTGCCCCCTCCACCGTCGTTCCCTCCCTCACGATCCGATGGGGGTTACCTCTTCTTGCCCTCGTTCTTGCTTCGTCCGGCCCCGCTACCAGTTCCGCCGATGACGATGACATGATGCTCTTTCCCCACATGGTACAGGTCTGGGTTGGTCTTCCTTAGGCCACTCCCACCCGATTCGTCTTTCACTCTTACACCGTCCACATCTCCGGCGAGAGCAGTGCCTCCATCGGATGGATGGAAGCCCTCATGCGTTTATCTCGACGTCTGCCGCACTGAAGTATGAGGACTTCTCCTTGCTCTCCCCTGTCGGCTTCTTCCGCGCCTTCCTTTCCATCTCTGCTTCCTTGCGTACGGATGACAGCTGCGAATGACTTAATATATTGTCCGGCGCTTTCACTTCCAGAGTCAGTTCTAAGTACTGTGTAACTGCCTCGAGGGTGCTTGACAATTTTAACACAACGTGGTGCGATCATCCCCCTTGCGCAGAGTTAGGGTTCTGGATCCCGCACAACATGATCTACTCGACCATCATGGTGAGCGCCAAAAACAACAGAGGTAAAAATATAACGGTAACCTGGTTGCCGAGGTCACGAAGTGAATTGGCTTGTTTTACGACGTCGTTGCCAAGCGACGAAAACCCAATCCCGATGGCAAACACCGGGGGGGGGAGGGGGGGGGTGTACTCATAGTCGTACATGCCGTGGTCGTTAGACCATTGACCTCGCATCCCTACAAAGCCGGGACGGAGCACGCCGGGTTCTCACCGGACCAGGCTCTCACATCACCAAGCGCGAAGCGCCGTGAGGTATTCGGCGAGTCGCATGAAGGGTGCGCTGCATCCTGCTAAGGGTGTTCGGCATCTTGTGCTTACTTTCTTGCGTACGGATGACTGCTGCGTATGACTTAATATATTTTCTGGCGCTTTCATTTCCAGAGACAGTTGTAAGTACTGTGTAACTGCCTCGAGGGTGCTTGACCATTTTAACACAACGTGGTGCGATCATCCCCCTTGCGCGGAGTGAGGGTTCTGGATCCCGCACAACATGATCTACTTGACCATCATGGATAGCGCCAAAAAACAACAGAGGTAAAAAT